GCCCAGTCCCAGCGAGGCACTTAGACTCACTTCGAGTGCCATGAAAAATGATGCCGCCACCCACCGTTCGTTCGTTCACCTTGCTCAAGCAACATGAAAATAAATATTAAATAATCATTTATTTTCACACAAAAAAAAGAAAAAGTTTCTGGTTTATTTTTTCCATTTATTGTTTGCTTTTATGTTTGTTTGCCTTCACTTGGACACCCGCCGTACAACGGTGCGTATGCGCGTTATGCCATGAGAGGCGGAAAACGCCTTCTTGCTTAACGGCTCAGTGCATTGCATTGGCTCACGATGTGGGTGTGCGAGTGTGTGTAAAGGTGAGGGTAAAGGTGTGTCTGTGGCTCAAGGAAACAGGTCAGCCTACGGCAGGCCATATTAAATGTGTTATTTGATTTAATAAATGTACTCTTCCATGTAATTTTAAATGTAAATGAAAACCTAATTTATTTAAAGAATTTTCCCAGGAATTTCTCAAAATTGCAACCATATACAGTTACATAATTGTCGATTAACATGTGTCTATTGATTGATTTACAAGAAAAATAATTGCCACCCATGGAATGACATTTTATTAACAAGTTCTCCATTGAATCTATGAGATCGAATAACAACTTTTTTGTTTAATTGACATTTCAATATTCACTTTCATTTCAGTTGGAAACAAAAGCAATAATTTCCCACTTGCTCGTGCATTCCACTGGCAACCAAAGCCGCAAAATGTGGAAAATTGTGTTAAATGTTATGCGAAAATGCACAAATTTGTCAGGTAGGGTATAGGGTAAGGTAAGGCTGAGCTCTGGAAAGCAGGTGCTCGACAAAATAAATTTTAATAAACAGAGCGCATACGTCAAACGGCAGACACACGCACGCACACACACGTCTCTTTGCCACACACACTTGTGCACGTAATTGGCGGCAAAACAATTAGTAGCATTTTACAGTTTACAGCTCAAAGTTTACACTTGCTGCACATCCCCCGAAATATATTTTGCACAAAATTGCACACGAAAGTATGCAGCGGCGGCAAATGCTGCAACAAAAGCTGACGAGCTGACTAAGTGGCAAATGTGATGAGCTCTCGGCAAGAGACAGACAGGGAGCAGGGAGCAGGGAGCGGGGACAGAGACAGGTGCAGGTGCAGGAGCAGGTGCAAAGGTGAGCAGATGAGGGCAACAGTTGGCAGGTGAGCTGCGTAAGCTCGGGCAAGCCAATGCCAAAAGCGTTGAAGCTTCTGACACACTTTCGCAATGGAAATGCATTTGACGAAGAGAATAGGCCACCCACTTGGCTGTAATAAATTACGGTAATTCAGAAAACTCTTAGCAAAGCCGGAAACAAAGGCAGATACAGGGTGTTTTGTAAGGAAATAAAATGGAGGGAAGTGCAATTTCAATTGAAGTTAGATACTTGCAAGATATGCTAAACTGTCTTAAAACCTTTTTGTAATAGAGTCTAAGGAGCATTCATTGCCACCCTGTATATAAGACCCAGTATTAGCATACGCTGCGCAAAGAAAGCTAAAGTCTCGGTAGAGAAATAAGTCAAAGGAAGCTGGCAATATGTGTGTCGCAATTTCCGTTTGAAGTGCACTTCCTGCCAGCTCGCAAATGTCATGCAAAATTCCTGCTGCAATTGCACCTTCTCGTCAAGGTTGCCTCGCTGATTGCCTTGCATAAGTTCTCTCTCTCCCTCAGCTTTTCCCACTTTTTCCACTGGCTTAATGGAAAAGTCGTGTGCGCTCCGTCAGATGAAAATATGGAAAGAACATGTGTGTGGCCCCACTAAGAGCGTCACATCGCGATGGTTGATTTAAGCCATTTCAATGACATTTCTGCGCTTTAACCGTTCGATATCAATATTCTCCCCGCTCCCACCCATAACCCATTATAAACAAACTGTCGAGCTTCCGCTTAATTTCATCTGCTGACGTCCGCTCTTGGATTCAATTTTGCGAGAAAGTTGCAACAGCTGCTTGCAGTTGAAGGAAATCAAATTGAATAAAAAGTTTCTTTCTGGCCAAGTGGCCCCCGGCAGCGGCAGCGGCGGATGTGCCAGGAGTAGGACCACATGGCGAATACTTGATATTTCGCAGAGGAAGCTCTCAGGCAGTGCCACCGCCACCGCCGAGATGACAGGCAGCAACTGGCCACTTCAAGTGCAACTGTTGCACATCAAACAGACATCAAAGTGTGCAAACATGATGGAGAGACAGCCAAGTGGACACACTGGGAACGCCAAGAGGAGCAGCTAGATACAGATTGCGACTGCAGTTGTCGAGACTTTTTTTCTGAAAAGGTTAGCGGACTCCCTGTGTGGGCTTGAGCACTCTAGACAAGCTCATCAGTCGTCATGGCAATCAAGAAGAGGAGGAGCACATCCGGGGCAGCCTGGCCCAGGCACTTGAAGATGCCTCCAATCTCACCGAGATTCCATCAACTTGAAACGGGCAACTCGATCGAAGCTCGGTCTCATCTCTGTCGAGGTGACAAAAGCCCGAAAGTGGGTCGTTGAAATTGATCGGGGAGCTTGACCTGCCGCCCCTTCGGGCCTTATTTGCTCGGTTAACAAGCGAATTTCCATTCATGGCTTCATTGGCTTCATTGCACCTCCAGTCGAAGCCAATCTCGTTTCCATTATGCCGCCCCTTGTGCCCTGGTGCCATGAATCTGCTCCGAAAGCGAAAACATAATGAAAATAATTCGCCAAGGAAAGTAATAAAGTGGCAGCCTTGAAGGCCGCAAAGTACACATGTACAGAGAGGGAAAAATTATGTCACACATGCAGAATCATAGCCATAAATGAAGTCTCAATTAATATTCCCATGCTTCAGGATTTTCATATTTTCAATGCTTATGTTTGCTTCTTAATCATTTAGGGTTCAGGATTTAAACCCTTATATGTATTTTTGCCAGTGTCCTGTATGCATGTCTGCCTGGGTGTGTGTCCTGCATGTATTTCGTGTCTCAATGGCGCTTTATTGTGATGTCGTTGGTCCTTCGCCTCGTATTTGTTTAGCCCGGCATTTTATTTTTACTGTTTATAAGCTGACAAAATTGTTTTTCTCCTTTCTGCTCCTGCCTGCCGCCCATTAAATGATCCTGCCCGGCTCCTCCGTGGAGGGTCGTCGTGGGCCCGTAAATGGGCCAATGCTGCGGCTACGTAATAAAACGAGAGCGAACCACAAGCAATAATTGGCCAAGGTCCGTTTGGGGGACTTTTGATGGCCTTGTCTTGTCACTGAGGCGAAATTAGTTCCCAGCCTGGCCTGGCATGATAGCCGAGGGCTTTTCGCATTTCCCATTTCCCCGTTTCCCGGCATTCTGATGCGATTCCATGCAGCTGAGTGCAGAGATGATTCCATTTCCCTGCGGTCAAAACGGCTATGCGTGGCCGCATTCTTCTCTGATTAAATTTGGAGTTATGCACTCGGTGCACTGTGGTGCTCGCTTCGCTGGCTCTGAACTGGCTAAAAAGAATCGAGAATGGCTAAAAGGCATTCCATATCTATGTCAGTAAGCCATTGTTTTCAATTTCGATGTTTGCCATTGTTCTACTATGGGGTTTCTAGTTTCTAGTTTCAGTTTCGTATTCATGGCTCTTAAATTGGTTAAAGCCCTACTTCGAATGGCTCTCGGGAATATCCTGCTGGCCATAATGTCATAAACTTAATTATGGCACAGCCAAATGAGCAATCAGATGACACTTGCCAGCCCGCCCGCTTAATTAACATGCCAAAAGTGCCGTAGCCGTAGACGTAAGGTGAAACTCCGGCTCATCGCATTTTTTATGCCTCACTCTTAACGTGGCAAGACAAAACAGAAAAAAGAGCTCCACCAGTTGGCAATACAATTTGCCGTGACAAATGCGGCCATAAACAAAAATGGCGTCAACGATGCCGCGCCACAGCCGCCGCTCAGCCATTTTCTAGTGCATGCGACGACAAAATGGCTGCCACAAGAGTCTGGATGAAAATTTCATTTCCCAGGCTACGATGGCGGCGGCAGCGGCGGCGACCTTTTACGGTATTTATCACACGCGAAAAACCCGTCTGCCAACTCGCTAGCTCGCTTTTCCCCGCGCTTCTCCCGCCCGTTTTCGTTTTCGGTAATGAAATTTCGCTTTAGCAATTACGGGCATCCCCGGGCCATGGCCGTGATAACCGGGGAATCGAGGGTAGCCGGGCTAAGCCGGCTAATAGCTTTTGAGGCTGGCTAGATGACTGGCTGGCTGGGTGAGTGACTCCGATGGATGCATAAATTATGATGGGAGCGAGTGCACCCTCTCACAGAAATCAATTCCCAGGCTTTTGGGAGCAACAAAACAAAGCGTGTGGCAACACAGCATAATAATGGAGCAAAAATGCAAGGAGAGCCGGGGAAAACAAAAACACAATTTATAAAAATATTTTCATGCCTTGCAGCTAAAATGTTATTAAAGTCAATAACATAAAGCCGGGACCAATTCCTTCTGCCAGGGTCGCCTCCCGGGGTGAGGGCGCAAACTTTGTCAAATAAAAATAGCTTACAAATAAAAACAACTCGAGGCGGAAGAATAAAAAATCATCAGCGAGAAGGAGGAAAGCGAGGCGAACACAACTGACCAAGGCAATGTAATAAAAATAAATAATGGCTTTGACAAAAAATAAACGATGGCTGCGAAAAAGTTTGAATATTTATGAGTTTTTTATGTGCCAACAAAGGAGGTGAGCCAAGAAAAAATAAAAAGAGTCCAGCATTCGATGGGAAAATGGAAAGAGCGGAGAAAGAGAGAGAGTTATGGAGTGAAAGTTGGAACTCTCCTCGTCCGATTAATTATGCCACAGTCATCGATAGCAGAGTGATTTCATTAAAATGGCGGTCAATTGTTTATTTAAAAACAGAAATTGTAATGGAAAATAAATAATTCTGATTCCGAAATTAATTTTTATGCAGGGTCTCAGAAATCAATAAATTTACATCATTGACTGACCAGAATAGGTTTGAAATAAATGTCAACCTTATGAGGTCTTTCTCACAAACAGAGAAATTCATTTGTCATCCAATTCGGTTCTAAAAGAGTGATAATTCAAAACATTCTATTAAAGTAAGTAGAATTCAATTGTCCCTCAACATGGAATCCCTTTCCCAGACCATGTCCGTCGAGGCCATTGCCGCCATCAAGGCAAAGCGCTTGGCCATGAAGCGTCAGGACAAGGACGCCATCGCGAATTCCAAGCGGCTGCTAAGGGCGGAGCAGCGCCAGGTTGACGAGCATCAGGTGGAGGTGTGCAGGAAGGCAATGGAACGGGAGCGGCAGAACGTTCCCTACGAAGAGAAACTGCTGGGCGAAAAGGACCTATCCGGCGTACTGCGCACCCTGGCGCTTGTCTACGATATTGGTGCACGTCGTTTTCTGCCCAAGCACAGTGGTCAACCCGACGAATCTCCAGAGCCCGAAAAACTACCAAAAGCTCCAAAGGTGTCGTCGAAAAAGAAACGATATAAAGAGCTATCTTTGAAATACAATCGCTACGATCAGGAGAAATTCCTCAAGGACCAAGAAGCCTTTGGCATCAATCCGCTGGGTAGTAATCTAAAGAAGAGGAAATTCAATAAGGATCTTGGAGAGGACCATGAAGAGGTGTCTAGCAAGAGGATCGCCAAGGAGACTGACAAGAAGAGCAGCAAGAGGAGCAGCAAGAAGACCAGCAAGGAGTCCAGCTTAGAGGCTACCTCAGATGAGCGACCTTCATGCAGTCGCCGGCATACCACTGCCGAGAAGGGCAGACGCCGCTCTTCGAATAATAAACCCATCATCGTGGTGCCGGCGGCCCTGACCAGCCTGATTAACCTGTACAATGCCAAGCAACTGCTGCAGGAGATGCGCTATGTGTCGGTGGACCAGGTCCGCAAGTCGGGTGTCCAGCCCACCGAAGAGGTTGTCCTAGAACGCCTTGTTCAGGTAACCTTTAAGGATCCTTCTGGTATATAAGATATTGAAAGCTACGCCTTTTTTCTAGGGTGAACTTGTGCGCTATCGGGTGATTGACAACGTGAAGCGTCTGAAGCCCGAGGAGTGGCAGCATGTGGCTGCTGTATTTGCCATGGGACCTCAGTGGCAGTTCAAGGGTTGGCCCCACGGTGGCGATCCAGTAGCCATTTTCCATGAGGTCTGCGCCTTTCACTTGCACTTCAAGAACACTGCGCCGAGCAAGGAGCTGCGCAACCTGAAGGTGAACATGCTCGCTCTGCCGCAGCACGAACGTCACTTGGACTGTGGCATCATGAAGGAGTTCTGGGAGAAGCTGGACCATCACATCGCCGTGCGGGCCAAACAGTTTGCGTTTATGAAGCAGAAGTAGGGCCTTTTGCAAACACATAGAGGCAGAGATAAGCGGGAAAATCAATAAATGAAATTGAATAAGCCAGAACAAAGGACGAAGGACAAAGACACACACACACAGACACGGCTCGGCGCATCACGGCACACATGGGGCGGTCTTTCGATAATAAAAAGTGAACGGGCGCATCAGAAAAATATATCACGTATGTATAAAAATCATATAAAAACGCTGCGAAAACTGCAAACTTGGCAAGAAAATTAAGAGCACAAACAAGTCGGAAAATGGGGGGAAGAAGGAGGCGACTTGGCACGCGTGAGACAAAAGCTAAATGACACACAAAGGAGCAGTTGTGTGTGTGTGTACTTATGTAAGTCACTGTGCGTCCCACAAAACGTAAAACTGTCAACGATGTTCAGAGTGATGAGGCAACTGAAAATGGGGTGGCAATAAAGGCTGCTGCTGGGTGGGGGAAAACTCACTAAGGAAAGCGGTGAGCGCAATAAAAATCACTGGGAAAATGGCAATTTTTATACACACATACACACAGCCACACACATACTCGTATTTAAATAAAATGCGTGCCAAGGCTCTGAGTCAGTGAGCATGTGTGTGTGGGCTTAAGAGGCAGGATATGAAGCAATTGGCAGGCGATAAAGGCTGTCAAAAGGAAATGCACTAAGCGCTTTAACAGTGGATCGAAAATAAGGGAAATATCTAGAAAAAGAAATGAGTTAAGAGCCAAGAACTTTATGAGAAACATAAAAACTTTACGTTGAGAAGATCAAATGGTGGTTGAAAAGTAAACTAGTTTCTGTACATTATAAACCCTAAGTGTCCTAATTTTAATTTTAGTTTCCAACTGTAGTTTTATGCAATTGTTTTAGCCCCACTGTTAGCCATTTGCTGGGTAAGTAGCCAATCTTTCCTTGGGATAATTTGCCAACTTACGCAACTCGCTGAAGACAACGGTAGGTCGCCTTTCGCCAGCCAGTCACCCGTCCGTCCACCCATTGTGGGCGTGGCAAATCGAGTTTCGTTGCCGATATTCAATTTTATAAATTGAAGCAAAGTAAAAGCAGAAATAAAAAGAAAATGTGGAGATAGAAATTGAATTCCGGCTAGCAGCAGACCGAATGATATAAAATTTACACACATCCTGGCAGCCGAAGAAGGGGGAAAGTGAGTTTTCCACATAAGCTTGACACAAGGTTGACTCAAGCGATAACAGTTTGGATTACATCGATGGCAGTAGGACGAGATTGGTGGAGCACCGCAATTAAGGATATCCTTTAAGTTGTGTCAGCGAATCTCCCCATTTATTTATCGTTCGAAAAGTGGGAGCTGAACTAATGCAAGAACAATAAATTCACAAAACGGTTTGGCCATAAATTTACGAAATTTACATTTCCCGATTCGAAGGGGAGACCGGAGCCAGGAGACCTCCACGCAAAATCTGTCGCCACAGGACTGGATTCAATTGCAATTGCCATCGACAAAGCCAGCAGCGAGTCCTCTTTGCAATTTACCAACGCCAACGAATCGGACATAATTTAGCCCCAGTTGGCAGCCGAATGCTTTATATTTTTGCATCCTAGAAACTTGATATAAATCCAAGTGCCCCTCTCCGAGTTTATTTTCTGGGATTAAAGTGCTGAACTCTTCACAATTTTCGATGTTTTGGTAAACAAGCTTACCGGAAAAGCCAACTAATATTAATGAATTGACCTCTCGAGTTTCTCAGTTTTCGGATCTGTGCACTGGCAAAGACCTGAAAATTGAATCGATATCATCTGCTGGCATTACACTTGGCTTAAAACTGATTACACACTGACTTGAACAAGTTTATGCCCAAGTGCCCGAACACCTACACATGTGTGCCACGTGTCTACGTATATTTTTGTATATATTTTTATATATGTATATAATATCGTTGTACTCCCATGGCAGGACAAAGTTTTTTACTTCACACCCAAGCGAAAGCCGAGAGCTGAGAGCTGAGAGTTGAGAAGCGAGGAGCACTTTGAGCCACCATAAATCCCTCGGTTGCTGTGAAAAAGAGCACTAAACTATGGCAAAAGTTTGCAGTTCAAATCAGTAAAAAGTCAACTTTAGCTTTAGCATCCAAGGAGGAGCAGTGCGTTAACAATATGGCAGCGAAGCCAAGTGGAAAAATCAACGAAAACAACGAAGAATCGCACAATAACACACATGTCCATGTCCATGGCGATGACAGTGGCACAGCGCAGCAAGGACTTTCTTCGCCATCTTGTTTTGGCCCGGTTAGCCTTTGTATTGGCCATGGTCTGCCAATTTCCAGTTAGCGTTGAACAGAGCCTTTTGAATGCATTTGTTGTCCTAGTCCAGGAAGAGTGCTTCAAAAAACAGGATCTCAGTTCCTTTTTGTATTTATCGGAATGCTTCTGAATGCTCTTTTGTGAGTTATTTAAATGATTTTATTTATGATTAAATTCCATGAAAGCCATGGGTAAAATCTCATAAGCGCTTATGCCACTTGGTGTGCTTTCACATGGCCGGGGAAAATCTGTTGCTCCTGTTGCTCCCGTTGCAAGCATTCATTCGCTGGGAAATTCGATTTAAACGGGGGTTTAAGTTGGGTGCTGCTCGGCGGTCAGCGATTGCCTTGGATCGTTCAACTTTTCAACTTGTGCCAATCAAACAAGTTCAATAACGGTAATTAACAGTCCAACGCAAAAGCAAACGCAGTTCCAATTGCAGTTGCAGTTCACATTCGTCCTGCAAAAAGGGCACCGTGCCGTGCCTGCAATTTGCGAAAAGTTCAAAGCTATTAGCATGTCGATGCCTCAACCTGAACCGATATGGATGTGTGGATGTGGATGTGAATGTGAATGTTTGCCTGCGACAGAAGTTTTCCCAGCACACCCAGCACTCCCGACTCCTGGTTTTTCCAGCCTAATGATGGAACTGCCCGCCATCAGTTAGAGGCTATTAGCCGGGTCCTGGTACCACTACCAGCAGTGAGGGCTAAAAGGCGACAGCCAGTCATTTCAGCCATTTAGGCCCGGCACTCCACCATTGTCCAACTGCTGGCCCACTCGGCATGTCAGTTTTGATTGAACCTGATGGACCCGCGATGGCTCGCTAATCTGATTTAATTGTGAATGATGTAAAAGGCCACTCGCAGCGGAAGATGTCTTTAATAAAGCGCTAATGAATATGGATGCTTGAGAGAGAGAGTTGTCATTAAAGGTACATACATCTTAAGCTTTAACTTTATACTGAAAAGACTTTAATTCAGCTTCAAATGCAAAGATCCTTTCCCTTTGACCTTATCCTTGTCTCATATGCACATAATGCAGTTTGGGCCCATGTTTGGCCTAATAAACAGATAGTTTGCAATTGCCTGCTACTCATCCTTGCTCGCTGTTCTTGCCAATGCACCAGTGGATCTATCAATTTGTAGCATTTTCAGGCTCGCACACCCAGCCAGAGTCCAGAATACATACGTCCGTATTCACTTACGGGCATGGCTTCGGTTTCCTCTATTTTTTGCTCTCCCTCTACGCTCTATGCTCGGCTCCCTTGGAGTAGGAGCCACTTTGGCCACAGAACTTGAACATGAGTGCAATCAAATGTATTACATTTTGTGCAACTTAAGCGCCGGCTGAAGTGCCGAAGACAGCTGGCGAGGAGGGGCAGGAAGGAGAGCTATATGTCGGGGAGGGATATATCCGCTTCTGGCTGCAATGATTTCCTGAAAAGCCCCGAGTCAAGGCTGAGTCTGGATGAGAAACTAAGCAGATGAGGTGGGGCCAAAGGAAGTTCAGGGGGGCACACACAAGGACGCACACAGTGGCGCCGTAAAGTATGCAACATGCGCCGTAAAAATGGGCCAAACAAGGAAATTGCTAGAATTGCATTTTGTGGCTCATGAGCCGTGAAGGGAAAGCGAGCGAACGGAGAGCTGACTACCTCGAGAGCTAGGGAAATCAATCGAGTTTGTTCGACAAATATCCGTTCAAATGGAAATTGTCAGGAAACCCGTGACAGAGATAGTCCCGTAAACATATAGAATGGAACGTGAATGCCTCAACAGCGAAGCAATTAAGTGTCATCACTCTAAACGGTTTTTAACTATGACAAATTCAAATTCACAATGTTTAATGCCCTGACTGATGACAAGCTTAAATGGGCAAAGAGGGATGACATGATATGATTATCCACCAATTTCCACTGCACTGCCAACTAATCAATGGAGAATGCGGAAAGGCGACCTCTTTCTTTTCTGCATTTTCCGCCAGAACCTTCGTCGTCGTCGTCGTTGTCGGTGTCCTTGGCGTTTGTCAAACAAAGCAAAAAACTTGCTAAATTCTCCGCTCAAACAGTTCAAGCATGAAAAATTTGCGAGAGAAAGACACAAACACGAGGCGGAGGGAGGAAAAGCCAGAAAAATGGGTGGAAAACTCGATGATGGACACTGGGAAGGGGGACAGTGCAAAAGCAAAGAACTTTATACCTAAAAGGGATTTATTTGATGACTTGTCTAACTCGTGCCCTTCACTCTTCACACGACCCACGGCCACGCCCTCGCCTTCTCCGTCTCCGTCTCCATTTCCGGTGCCCCCATTTTCGCATTTTCCTCCCGCCAGACAGACAGACCCGTTCCCGGCATGACGTAGCACTTTTACAAATGAAGTTTTATAACTTTGCCTCCGTCTGATTTGTCAAAGAGGGAAAGAGACACGGCGCCCAAAAGTGAAATGCGACAAAATGGAATGAAATTAAATGCATTTTGAAAAATGATAAAGTTCACCGGTTCAACAAGGAAACGGTTTTTCCCTTTGGTCCTCTTTTCAAGCATAAAGTCCGAGGCTTTAAAATGACTTTCATTTGCTTACAAAAATGCCAGGGGAGCAGAGATTGAACTTACCTGAAATGACAAAGAACAAAAAAAAAATGTTAATTAGAATGGTGATATTAGGTATTAAATGAATGATTAAATTAGCTTTGTTTTTAATTTATTTTTTTGTAAACAAAAACATAACTTTTAAACAGATTAGCTTAAGCTGCTTTAATCCAGCTAATTTTAGCATAATTAATCATTGTTTCTATATGAATATTGTTTAAAATAATTGTGTTAAGTAAACAAAAAAGCAAATTTATAACATAGTTTTATTTTGTGCTGGCCTGGAATG